CTCTTAATCTCTCTCTCTCTCTCTCTCTCTCTCCGTCTGTCTGTCTCTCTCTCTCTGTCTTCCTCTCTTAATCTCTCTCTCTCTCTCTCTCTCTCTCCGTCTGTCTGTCTCTCTCTCTCTGTCTGTCTGCCTGTCTCTCTCTGTCTGTCTGTCTCTCTCTGTCTGTCTGTCTGTCTGTCTCTCTCTCTCTCTCTCTCTCTGTCTGCCTGTCTCTCTCTCTCTCTCTCTCTGTCTTTCTCTCTTAATCTCTCTCTCTCTCTGTCTTCCTCTCTTAATCTCTCTCTCTCTCTCAATCTTTCTCAATCTCTCTCTCTCTCTCAATCTTTCTCAATCTCTCTCTCTCTCTCAATTTTTCTCAGTCTCTCTTAATCTCTCTCTCTGTCTCTCTTAATCTCTCTCTCTGTCTTAATCTCTCTCTCTCTCTCTCTCTCTCTCTCTGTCTTAATCTCTATCTCTCTCTCTCTCTGTCTCTCTTAATCTCTCTATCTGTCTTAATCTCTCTCTCTCTTAATCTTTCTCAATCTCTCTCTCTCTCAATCTCTCTTAATCTCTCTCAATCTCTCTCTCTCTATCTCTCTCTCTCTCTCTCTCTCTCTCTCTCTCTCTCTCTCTCTCTCTCTCTCTCTCTCTCTCTCATAATAACACTAATCCATAAATGTATCTACGGTTCTTCGTTGTCATATCACCAGAGGAATGGTAGCCGACTGCTTCAGTCATCCTTTTTTTATCATATAATCAATATAATGTTTTTAAATTGAACTACAAGGATGAATATGTAGACGCAGTTTGTGAAGTTCTAAGACCACTGATGCTTTTAATAATTATTCATACCGAGTCCCGAGAGACTGTGCGCAGTCTAAAGCCCCAGCTGTTTCTGAACTATTCATATAGCTATAACCTTTTTTTCCAATTACATATCACCTCGGCTTATTTCTATACAAAATGACAGACCACATATCGATTGACAAAGCAACACTGACAGATCTACAAATGAGTCGACAGTCTGCCTAATCTTTGACATTGTAACTTTTCACACATTGCCATAACAATTTAACAAACAGAAAATACATTGACTATCAGTACAATCACTGCAATAATAGCTGAAAACGCTTATGCTGAGAACTGTATTTTTGAACGGAATGATGCGTACACACGACATTTCGAAGTTCCAGTACATGAAACAAACTGAATCATTTAAAAACTATAGATGTTTTGTCTGTGGTGTCTCTGCTCACATTCCTATACATTACCCAGGCGTCTTACGACAGCAGCACAGTACTAAGCCACTGTGCCTCGCAGATTATGTTGAAGGGACTCAGACAGAGAGCGTATTTGAAGCAGATTTTCTGGGCACTTTATGCAGAATTACACATTCTTAAAACCACTGCATGTGAAATAATTTGTAAGTTCTGGGGATTGGGCGACAGTTTAGAGGAGGCAGTTTCTTTTACATGGTAAGACTAAGGACTTCCAAGTCATGCTTGTAGAAACTACCCAACAATCACCATCATGCCAGACATGCCACATATAAGCAACATGACTTTGCCTTAATATCTGGGGGAGATGTTACCCTAAAGAAGGCGCGTAACATACCTTTGAGCATATATTCCTATCGCGCCTCTAACCATCAAGTTTATCATTACTATTGTCAAAGTATATTTGTACGTTGTCAATCATATTATCAATCTGTTTTGTTACCCTGTCAAACACTCTTGCTATGGTGTCCATTAGATATGTCAAAGGACAAAGATGAAAAAAGAAATACGTGGATTGTCAGAGATGTGCACTGAAGCGTCTGATCTCTTGTGTGAAAGGGTGTATTATCTCTCCATCTGTCTCTGTATCCATCTATCCATTCATCTCCCTCCCAGTCCCTTGCTCGTTGTTGCCGTGGGGGGCTTGGGAGGTGGACAGAGGCCCAATGTAGGGGATCAACCCAGCCTTGGTCCTCAGCCCTCGCCTCAACTAATTTTGCATGGTCCTTTCTTCGCCTCTTTTCCTTTTCCTTCTCTCCTTCATCCCCTTCTGTCCACTTATCCTAATCATTAACTCATTTATACCCTTTTCGCCACAATACTTTATATCGTAATGCTTTATGATCTTTGATGTCTTGGCACATTTATTTGTTTTGACCATTAACCATTCTGGAAAGTCCCACCTTATCACTATATTTTAAATGCGACCTTAGATGCTGATGCGGCAGAATTATTTCAATAATTAAAATAAATATCCATTCATCTGTCTGTCTCTCCCCGCACTCTCTATCGAGACACTCAAAAAATGTGTATATGTACTGCGCCCACACACACACACACACACACACACACGCGCGCACGTCTTAATTAGTAATATATGGTACAAAATGCAAAAGCAACCCAGAGGACCATGGGTTTCACTATAGCATCCATTCAGTTGTAAACTAAAATTTACCTGCAATGTACAGCTATGTATGCGTAAATGAACAATATGAGTACGTCAGTGATTTTCTTCTAGGATAAACTCTACTACAGACTGACAGACCTTCCCAATTAGTCTATACATGGTAAAGAGTAATATGGGCAACCTTAAGAATCTCACTGTGATAACCCATACATGTTGTCTTGGGTATAGACAGGGCAGAAAGGATCTGATTCGCAACAGAAAGATGATTGATTGGAATCAGATTTAGCATCACGGTCAGCCAGTGATGAAAGTGGAAGAAAAGCAAGAGAGATGCCATTTTCTGAATCAGATCCACTTTTTCAGCTGCTGGAGTACTGCTGTCCTGAGGTGGTAGACGAAGTTGTCTCTTTGGAGTCTTCTTGGGACTTGGAAATGACTTATGCTCTTTACCATCTACATATCTGTATGTCTGCTTGCGGCGTTTACTACTAAATGGAGATCCAATCGGAATGCCAAGCTTTTTACACAACTCCACAGGATATTCCCTACTGATGAATAGCTGAGCCTTATCTTTGAGTCTATCTCTAAAGTCGTTATCTGGGCATGGATAGGGTTAACTAGGTTCATTTCAGGCATAACGTCTTTAGGGCGTGGACCATATTTCCCACAGAAACCAAATTGTCCATTATTATGCAGGGTGCAGTGTCTGTAAACTGCCATTGTGTCACACCTGTAATGAAAATGTGGGTCTACTCTTTTTACTTGAATCATGCAATCACTCTAAAGTTCAATATTCTAAAATTGAGGATGGGCAAAATAAGAGATTGGACCCATAATTACCAAATGAACACTGGGAAATTCAAGAGAAAATGAAACAATGTGCAAAATCTGATATGTTACTAGTTCAAATATTAATTGAAATGCTATTGCAAAGAAAATACTGACAGACAATTAAGTAGTATCTGCATATAGCAAGTTCCTGGAAAAACAAAGACCCAGTTGCCATAGGCAAAGATATAAACTACAATGTAGTTCAATGTCTTATGGTACATAAACATCAAAAGAAAAGAAAAGGAGAATCTTAAACAAACATTTTGTAAGGTTGTCCAGATAATTCTGTACTACGTATAGACTAATTGTATCCTAGAAGAAAAATACTAGCATAACCATATTGGGCATCTACTCGTGTAAGCTGTAACCCAGTACATTTTAGTGTACTGGGTTGCCCGTGCATTTTGTATCTGAGTCAGTATGCAGGTTGAGGTCTGGATCAGTTACCGAGGGAACTGCGAGCACTGTCAAGATGTGCTGTCATATTTGGGTAAAAGTGGAAAGGAAGACGGTTGTTTGAATCACAAGAACGGATGAATATTTCAAATGTGAATTGTCGATCCGATGAAACGGTTATATGTATTCCATTATTTCTAATTAGGACTACTATCCGGATTGATCGATTACTTTGATTTGGGCCCAGTTTCGGTTGCTGCATTTGGACGGGTGGTCGTTTCTCGTTGGCACAGGCAGCAATCGTTCAACTTCATCCCATCAGTTTAATGAGAAGCGCTAGGGCCTGCTTCGCCCAGTTCTTCGCCCGGTCTGTTTAGGTATTTAGAGCTATCTCAACTGATTCATAATCACCAAGTGCATACCGTGATGGTCGCATTGCCAGCATGCTCTAAGTATCACACGATGTAAGCAAGAGGCATCCGGCTCGCCACAGTGCTTGCAACACCTTGCAACTTTCTTAATAATGTCAATGATTTGCCATGCACAATGTCAGCCTAGTCTAATTCTGTGAGCTGGTGCACGTGCAAATCACCTGGCAACCACAAGCCAATGAGCGAGGGGGAGGGTAGCGGATAAGCTTGGAAAAAAAAAACATTATCCGCGTCCCAGCAAATAGCGTTCAGTGTGGCCATACTCTAAAGTTGTTGCTATTACAGTAACTAGTAGGAGCATCGCATCCTTCTCGTCAAAGAGGTGGGGGCTGATCAGTTCTTGGGGATCTTCTGGTGTTCTTTAAACACTCTTTTTTTGTGCTGGCTATCAGAACTGATTGGGGTGGTGTATCCTTCCTCTTTGGTTGGGGCAACCTTTTTTCTTTGATCTGTGCTCTAACATGGGTGTCTAGGTGAGTAGGAAAAAATATCTAATCATTTCTCAACCCCCTGTTGCCTGAAGGCCGCCTCCTTCCTGACGGAGCAGGCTAAGCTCCGGGCATGATAACTCTTAGCGCAGCTGGGACTTTGGCTACTGTGTCCATTTTGCCTTTTGCCCCCCCCCCCCCTCTCTCTCTCTCTCTCTCTCTCTCTCTCTCTCTCTCTCTCTCTCTCTCTCTCTCTCTCTCTCTCTCTCTCTCTCTCTCTCTCTCTCTCTCTCTCTCTCTCTCTCTCTCTCTCTCCCTCCCTCCCTCCCTCTCTCCCATGCGCACACACATCGTAACTTATCATCCTTGTTTTTTGTTCACATATAAATACGTAAAAGGGCACTTTATTGATATTTATGATTCTTTGTAATTTAAAACGTGTGGACACAAGAATTTGCTAAGAAAATCACTACAAACAAATAATAAAGTTATCCCCTATAATTCATTTTCTCTCGTTCCATTCTCTGTTGTC